CCTCGTGGCGGTTCTCAGTCCATCCTGGCCTCATGGCGGTTCTGACCTCATGGCAGTTCTGACCTCGTGGCGGTTCTCAGTCCATCCTGGCCTCATGGCGGTTCTGACCTCATGGCGGTTCTGACCTCATAGTGGTTCTCCTCTTGTCCCCCAGGCGACCTTCCGTTCTCCACAGAGAAGTGGTCAAAGCCGGGGTCGGAGGTGAAAACCTGGGACGACTGGCTCTCCATGCAGGGCGACCTCTCATCCCGCCTCGACGCCATCGTCAGTGGGGCCAACATGAAGGATTTATGGGCCGACGCCGGCCGGCCCCGACCTGGGGATGATGACCTGAAGCAGTCGCTCTGGAGGGTCTGCAGCGAGTTCTTCTCCAGGCCCCTGACCGTGGCCCTGGGCCTCAGGCTGTTCGGCCTCAGCCCGGCCTCCCGGCCGCTCACCGTCCACCTGGTGGGGGCGGGGCCCGGCGAGACGCTGGCGGCCAAGCTGAGCGACTACGACGAGCTGAACCACGTGTTCCCTGGACACCAGGGCATCGAGGTGGTCATGGTGGGGCCCGAGGTGGCGGACGGCCCCGTCCTGAGGCCCCCTCTCCGAGCCTTCGGCCCCAAGCAGAGGGTCTACGTCAGCGCCTACCGGGGCCTCTACCACCACTTCTGGGAGGAGCTGGTGGAGAAGGAGGAGGCGGCCAAACCGGACCTGGTGGTCGGTTTTAATCCAGGTCAGAACCACAGAGTCATCAGGACCAGAACCATAATAAACTCATCAAGATCAACCAGGTGTCAAACTCAAGGCCCGGGGGCCAAATCTGGCCCGCTGTAGCTTTTTATGTGGCCCTTTTGACTCCAGATTACATCATCAAGTCCCTCCAGGTTTTCAGAAATCCACAAAATTAACAAAAATCAACAAATTCCCACATTTTTTCTGATTGAAAATCTTTACAAGTATTTCTAAAGTGGAAACAAAATCTGTGATCTTGATGGCAAAAAGTAAACAAAAACAAAACCAACGGAGGGACTGATCAGTGATTATTTAATTTTGAGAAACATTTATTGAATGCTGAAACAAGCAGCTATTTATTAATATTTTAACATTTTAATGGGTTTCATTACTACATTCTGACCCAACCGGCCCTTTAAGAACATTCAGATTTTTGATTTGGCCCAAAATGAAAATGATAATATTGATGTTTTAGAACATTTTCCAGTGATATAAAGGTATAATAATTTCAAGAAAATATTTTCAGACATAAATAAACTTAAGATTTTAATGAACATTAAACACTGGAAGGGGAAGACATTTGAAATCTCCAAAATAAATAAACAAAACAACAAATAAACAAATAAAATAAATTATGAACTAAACTGTCCTTAAGATCACTTAGTTGAGACCAAATCACCAGACAGGAGACTTTTATCATCAAATTAGTGGTAAAAATGGAAAGAAATGAGAAAAATACTAAACTTTGCAAATGGAAATTATTGAATTTGTTTCAATTTATCATCCAATTAATCGATTAATTACTTATTGTGACAATCCTCAGTAAGGGAAGCTGCTTTATACGTTGGAACATAAATACAAGGTTTTCTCAGATCTTCTCCACTTCATTCTGAGTTTTCATAAATAATCATTTTTAGTGATTTTTTTAAAATAGTTTTTTGTGGGTCAAAGTGTTTAAAAAATAACTTGTTTTCCCCAGATATCCATCTGCAGTGGATTAGGCCTAAAATATCTGATTAAATAATTTACAGTAATGCAAATTATTTAAGCATTTTTACATAAAACGTGAAAATAAATGTGTTTAGAAATGAGAGTAATTATTTAACTCTATATTTCTAGGTTTTGATGCCAGTCAGGGTCTGGACCAGGGCTGGCTGCCAACCCTTCTGCTCCTCCGCGATTATGAGATTCCCTCCATGTTCACCTCACTGACGTAAGTTTCACTCATTTGGAGCCATAAACACCAGAATTTGATCCAGAAATCAGATGCAGCTAAATAAATATGTAATAAATTCAGGGATGTCCAAAGTGTGGTCCGGGGGCCATTTGTGGCCCTCTGAACAATTCTGGGCCCAAATTCACATTATTTGCAGTTTTGGTTCCTACAGAAGTCTTTATTACAATTCAAAAAGTAGTCTATGCCATTTAGGAACAATAAATAAATAAATCACCAGTAAAAAGGTCACATCCACCCAGCGGCAAAAAAATGTTCTACATAAAATTCCTCAGTAAAGCATGAAGAGTTGGCATGACAAATAATCTTACTTAATAAAATAATGCGAAGATTAAAGAAAATAAATGCATTTCCAGATTCTCAAGCCGCACTTTCTAGATTTTGATTTGCAAAGAGATGTTAAAAACTAAGCATCATTTTGTTTCTACTTGCTAGAAAGTTGAGGGTGTGTGAATACTTTTGTCCCAGCTGCTAGTCTGTCGTCTCTCTGCAGTGAGACAGATATGACCTACAGTCTGCAAATCCTGCTGGAGCTGGAGATGGACCTGAAGGGCAGTGGAGCCAACCCGTTTGCCTCCCTGAAGCCAGAGGTCGTCGGGTCGACGCCCAACAAGCCTCCTGTCTTCTGCAACTCGCACTACTTCAGCTTCCAGGGTTTACTGGCGACGGCGGAGCTGGAGGAGCCAGAGTCGACCTGAAGGGGGCGCCGGTGGAAAACGTTTGTCATTTCATTTTTATAAATAAAGGGTTATTATGTTATAATCGTAACCGGGCTTTTAATAACAGAAACACTTGAAGGGTTTATAACTTTTAAACCAGGAGCTTCAGGAGTTAAGAAATTTGCATCTATTATCTCTCAGTTTTGTTGCATTCAAATGAGGCTCAGTAAGATTTGAATATAATGAGTCTGTGAAATACGGTTGAGTTCACTGCAAAAACACAAAAAACTCACCAAGTATTTTAATCTGTGCAAATATTTTAATTTGCTTTAAATACGACAAAACTAACTTAAAAGTAACTTTTCATCTAGATATACAAATCTGTTGTAAGTAAATAATTCCTTAATATTGACAAAAAAAGAATTAGTTCTACCGGTGCTGTTACCTAGCAACCTCGGCCATGTCCAGCGTTACCTAGCAACCAAGTTCTAGTTCCACTGGCAGATTATTTCACTTATAACATGGGAAAAATGTCATAAATTCAATAATCTGCCATTGGAACTAATTCTTTTTCACCAATATTAAGGAATTATCAACCTAAACAAGCTTTTATTTCCTCTTCTTCACTGCAAAAACCAAACCTTACCAAGTATTTTTGGTCTAGTTTGTAGTGCAAAAGCATTCAAATCAAATGTCAGTAAGACATAGGATCCTGTTTTAAATCAGTAATTCTTTATTATTGATTTAAAAAAATGGTTCCACTGGCAGATTATTTCACAAATAACATGGGAAAAAATGTCTTGTTATAAATGAAATAATCTGCCAGTGGAACTAGAACTGGGTTGCTAGGCAACGGCTGGGCTTGGCTGGGGTTGCTAGGTAACAGCACCAGTGAAACTAGAACTTTCTCATCAGTATTAAGGAGTTATTTACTTAAAATAAGCCTCTACATCTAGCTTAGAAAGTTATTGAAATGTTAGTTTTGTCTTATTTGAAGTGAACTAAGATATTTGCACCAGAAACTAAACCAAAAATACCTGACAGTCACATAAAATTATTCTCTAGCCAAACTTCACAGCTGTTTTTGTCTTTATTCACCAAGTGATGGAGTCCAGGACAGTGAAGTCACAGCTGAACTTTTCTACAGTGACTTAATGGACAGAACCAGGTCTACAATGTAAAGGATGAGGTTCAAAGCGCTTCCCACCGTGACGGCATTCATGTCTGCGTAGGAACATTTGATGCAGGTGTAAGGGTTGTGCCTGTAGCGTCTGTAGCCAAACACGGTCCAGAGGATGACAGCCAGCAGGTACAGCACCACCGCCACCAAGTTGGACACAAACTCCACCAGGTTCAGCCTGAACACCAGCAGACACTGCAGAAGCTTCAGCAGGTTGAGGACGATGATGGCCGCGGTGACCAGGAGGCAAACTCCAAAGATAACGGCGCACAGTATCATCCCGAAAGGTTTGTAGAACCACTCCCCTCTCACAAAATGGTCGACGGCGGCGGTGAGGATCATGCAGGCGACAAATGCCTCCGATATGCGGAGGGTTCCTCTCAGGCTGGACATGTAGCCGCTGCCGAACGCCGTCTTCTGCTTGATGACGTCGACCAGAAAGCACACCGTGGCGACCAGCGAGAAGATGAAGCACAGGATGTTCCCAATGCAGGTGAGGCAGACAAAAACGGCAGCGAAGGCCACCGTGGCGGAGACCACGGAGATGCAGCACACGGCTGTCAGGCCCAGGGTCAGGTCGGCCCAGTTGGGGAGGAAGGCCGCCAGCAGGATGTGCCAGCCTCTGCTCTCCACCACAAGCAGCGCCAAGGGGACGACGATGCACAACACCCAGACGAACTCACACCAAACGCCCCAGGGGGCGACCATCCTGCCTCTGAACAGGACGACGACCAGAGCCAGAGCGCTGGATATCATCTCCACCAGGCGAATAATCCCCTGGAAGCCGGAGAACGGGCCACACATGCTGCCGGGTTTGGGTTTCCAGGTCCTGGAGGTTCTGAGGAAGAAGCTGCGTTTGCTCCAGAACTGAAGGATGAACCGTCGTAATGAAACTCCTCTCACTCCAGCACAGCGGTGCGATATGCTTTGTATTCAAATGTCTGAGTTGGTGCTCAGTTTGTACATGAAAATGATCAAACGGACCTGAACTGTAGTTGGAACGAAGCAAAATGGGACCAACTGTAACTTCAGATCAGAGTTTCTCAAACAGGTTCGGGCCGAGGATCATTTTACCCGTTTAACAAACACTCACTTTAACACAACATCTTAATTTACACAACCTGAATGAAAGTTTTAGTCTCTGAACTGACTTATTATCATGAACAGTTCATCTCAGGGCATTTTGAGTAACTTTCATATTGTGAAACTTGTGGTTTCTAAGCTTTCCAATGATGTCAAACACATGGAAATAAAGCTGTTTCTCACTACCAACTGTTGTGTGCATTAATAACGTTTAGACCTATTTGTAATTTAGAAGCACATTTAAAGAAAAAAAGATTCATTTTGCCATGGCAGAAACAAAAATTATCTTCTGCAATGTTAAATATAAAAATATACACCCATGTATTTATCTATTGTATTTAATTAATTTCATCATTTTTATTCAATAAAAAAATAATAGTTGTTGAGGTGCAACCAGAGCATCATAAGGAAGCAAAGTCATTATCCTCAAGCTTTGCAAACTGTCAGCTGCATTAAAATAAACATTTGCCTTAAAAAAATGGAAAGAAGGAAAAGAGTGGGAACTATTTCCCAGAATGCTTNCAGCTATTTATTAATATTTTAACATTTTAATGGGTTTCATTACTACATTCTGACCCAACCGGCCCTTTAAGAACATTCAGATTTTTGATTTGGCCCAAAATGAAAATGATAATATTGATGTTTTAGAACATTTTCCAGTGATATAAAGGTATAATAATTTCAAGAAAATATTTTCAGACATAAATAAACTTAAGATTTTAATGAACATTAAACACTGGAAGGGGAAGACATTTGAAATCTCCAAAATAAATAAACAAAACAACAAATAAACAAATAAAATAAATTATGAACTAAACTGTCCTTAAGATCACTTAGTTGAGACCAAATCACCAGACAGGAGACTTTTATCATCAAATTAGTGGTAAAAATGGAAAGAAATGAGAAAAATACTAAACTTTGCAAATGGAAATTATTGAATTTGTTTCAATTTATCATCCAATTAATCGATTAATTACTTATTGTGACAATCCTCAGTAAGGGAAGCTGCTTTATACGTTGGAACATAAATACAAGGTTTTCTCAGATCTTCTCCACTTCATTCTGAGTTTTCATAAATAATCATTTTTAGTGATTTTTTTAAAATAGTTTTTTGTGGGTCAAAGTGTTTAAAAAATAACTTGTTTTCCCCAGATATCCATCTGCAGTGGATTAGGCCTAAAATATCTGATTAAATAATTTACAGTAATGCAAATTATTTAAGCATTTTTACATAAAACGTGAAAATAAATGTGTTTAGAAATGAGAGTAATTATTTAACTCTATATTTCTAGGTTTTGATGCCAGTCAGGGTCTGGACCAGGGCTGGCTGCCAACCCTTCTGCTCCTCCGCGATTATGAGATTCCCTCCATGTTCACCTCACTGACGTAAGTTTCACTCATTTGGAGCCATAAACACCAGAATTTGATCCAGAAATCAGATGCAGCTAAATAAATATGTAATAAATTCAGGGATGTCCAAAGTGTGGTCCGGGGGCCATTTGTGGCCCTCTGAACAATTCTGGGCCCAAATTCACATTATTTGCAGTTTTGGTTCCTACAGAAGTCTTTATTACAATTCAAAAAGTAGTCTATGCCATTTAGGAACAATAAATAAATAAATCACCAGTAAAAAGGTCACATCCACCCAGCGGCAAAAAAATGTTCTACATAAAATTCCTCAGTAAAGCATGAAGAGTTGGCATGACAAATAATCTTACTTAATAAAATAATGCGAAGATTAAAGAAAATAAATGCATTTCCAGATTCTCAAGCCGCACTTTCTAGATTTTGATTTGCAAAGAGATGTTAAAAACTAAGCATCATTTTGTTTCTACTTGCTAGAAAGTTGAGGGTGTGTGAATACTTTTGTCCCAGCTGCTAGTCTGTCGTCTCTCTGCAGTGAGACAGATATGACCTACAGTCTGCAAATCCTGCTGGAGCTGGAGATGGACCTGAAGGGCAGTGGAGCCAACCCGTTTGCCTCCCTGAAGCCAGAGGTCGTCGGGTCGACGCCCAACAAGCCTCCTGTCTTCTGCAACTCGCACTACTTCAGCTTCCAGGGTTTACTGGCGACGGCGGAGCTGGAGGAGCCAGAGTCGACCTGAAGGGGGCGCCGGTGGAAAACGTTTGTCATTTCATTTTTATAAATAAAGGGTTATTATGTTATAATCGTAACCGGGCTTTTAATAACAGAAACACTTGAAGGGTTTATAACTTTTAAACCAGGAGCTTCAGGAGTTAAGAAATTTGCATCTATTATCTCTCAGTTTTGTTGCATTCAAATGAGGCTCAGTAAGATTTGAATATAATGAGTCTGTGAAATACGGTTGAGTTCACTGCAAAAACACAAAAAACTCACCAAGTATTTTAATCTGTGCAAATATTTTAATTTGCTTTAAATACGACAAAACTAACTTAAAAGTAACTTTTCATCTAGATATACAAATCTGTTGTAAGTAAATAATTCCTTAATATTGACAAAAAAAGAATTAGTTCTACCGGTGCTGTTACCTAGCAACCTCGGCCATGTCCAGCGTTACCTAGCAACCAAGTTCTAGTTCCACTGGCAGATTATTTCACTTATAACATGGGAAAAATGTCATAAATTCAATAATCTGCCATTGGAACTAATTCTTTTTCACCAATATTAAGGAATTATCAACCTAAACAAGCTTTTATTTCCTCTTCTTCACTGCAAAAACCAAACCTTACCAAGTATTTTTGGTCTAGTTTGTAGTGCAAAAGCATTCAAATCAAATGTCAGTAAGACATAGGATCCTGTTTTAAATCAGTAATTCTTTATTATTGATTTAAAAAAATGGTTCCACTGGCAGATTATTTCACAAATAACATGGGAAAAAATGTCTTGTTATAAATGAAATAATCTGCCAGTGGAACTAGAACTGGGTTGCTAGGCAACGGCTGGGCTTGGCTGGGGTTGCTAGGTAACAGCACCAGTGAAACTAGAACTTTCTCATCAGTATTAAGGAGTTATTTACTTAAAATAAGCCTCTACATCTAGCTTAGAAAGTTATTGAAATGTTAGTTTTGTCTTATTTGAAGTGAACTAAGATATTTGCACCAGAAACTAAACCAAAAATACCTGACAGTCACATAAAATTATTCTCTAGCCAAACTTCACAGCTGTTTTTGTCTTTATTCACCAAGTGATGGAGTCCAGGACAGTGAAGTCACAGCTGAACTTTTCTACAGTGACTTAATGGACAGAACCAGGTCTACAATGTAAAGGATGAGGTTCAAAGCGCTTCCCACCGTGACGGCATTCATGTCTGCGTAGGAACATTTGATGCAGGTGTAAGGGTTGTGCCTGTAGCGTCTGTAGCCAAACACGGTCCAGAGGATGACAGCCAGCAGGTACAGCACCACCGCCACCAAGTTGGACACAAACTCCACCAGGTTCAGCCTGAACACCAGCAGACACTGCAGAAGCTTCAGCAGGTTGAGGACGATGATGGCCGCGGTGACCAGGAGGCAAACTCCAAAGATAACGGCGCACAGTATCATCCCGAAAGGTTTGTAGAACCACTCCCCTCTCACAAAATGGTCGACGGCGGCGGTGAGGATCATGCAGGCGACAAATGCCTCCGATATGCGGAGGGTTCCTCTCAGGCTGGACATGTAGCCGCTGCCGAACGCCGTCTTCTGCTTGATGACGTCGACCAGAAAGCACACCGTGGCGACCAGCGAGAAGATGAAGCACAGGATGTTCCCAATGCAGGTGAGGCAGACAAAAACGGCAGCGAAGGCCACCGTGGCGGAGACCACGGAGATGCAGCACACGGCTGTCAGGCCCAGGGTCAGGTCGGCCCAGTTGGGGAGGAAGGCCGCCAGCAGGATGTGCCAGCCTCTGCTCTCCACCACAAGCAGCGCCAAGGGGACGACGATGCACAACACCCAGACGAACTCACACCAAACGCCCCAGGGGGCGACCATCCTGCCTCTGAACAGGACGACGACCAGAGCCAGAGCGCTGGATATCATCTCCACCAGGCGAATAATCCCCTGGAAGCCGGAGAACGGGCCACACATGCTGCCGGGTTTGGGTTTCCAGGTCCTGGAGGTTCTGAGGAAGAAGCTGCGTTTGCTCCAGAACTGAAGGATGAACCGTCGTAATGAAACTCCTCTCACTCCAGCACAGCGGTGCGATATGCTTTGTATTCAAATGTCTGAGTTGGTGCTCAGTTTGTACATGAAAATGATCAAACGGACCTGAACTGTAGTTGGAACGAAGCAAAATGGGACCAACTGTAACTTCAGATCAGAGTTTCTCAAACAGGTTCGGGCCGAGGATCATTTTACCCGTTTAACAAACACTCACTTTAACACAACATCTTAATTTACACAACCTGAATGAAAGTTTTAGTCTCTGAACTGACTTATTATCATGAACAGTTCATCTCAGGGCATTTTGAGTAACTTTCATATTGTGAAACTTGTGGTTTCTAAGCTTTCCAATGATGTCAAACACATGGAAATAAAGCTGTTTCTCACTACCAACTGTTGTGTGCATTAATAACGTTTAGACCTATTTGTAATTTAGAAGCACATTTAAAGAAAAAAAGATTCATTTTGCCATGGCAGAAACAAAAATTATCTTCTGCAATGTTAAATATAAAAATATACACCCATGTATTTATCTATTGTATTTAATTAATTTCATCATTTTTATTCAATAAAAAAATAATAGTTGTTGAGGTGCAACCAGAGCATCATAAGGAAGCAAAGTCATTATCCTCAAGCTTTGCAAACTGTCAGCTGCATTAAAATAAACATTTGCCTTAAAAAAATGGAAAGAAGGAAAAGAGTGGGAACTATTTCCCAGAATGCTTTGCGGTGTGTTTTTGTATACTGAGATGGAAGTGTGTTACATTGATCTGACTTGTGTTTTATTAAGTGCTAACCTAAAAACTCTGTTTATTCAACTCTGACAAAATTAATAAAAAAGTTAACACAACTTACTACTGCAAGTTTATCTTTCACAAACTCACACATTTGGCTTCAAAATCTAAAATTTTCAATTTATTTGACTTGCAGAGCAGAAGACAGCAGACCCAACTAAATGCAGCTCAAATGTTTTACAGTGTGGACATGATAAGTTGCAGAGACATGCAGTATTCACCTTATTTATGCTGGAATTACAACACAGCATCTTTGGAAATATTATTAAAAAGAACAATGGAGCTTTTCTGTACATTCAGGTCAAATGTCTTGACAGACGCACTATAAAAAAAATCGTAACATTTATGTTCGCTTAAAGTCACAGATGCCGAGAAGAGTAAAAATCAGGTCCAATGAAAAAAGGATGAGATTCACATAAGTAAAAAATGCAACCATGAACTGAATGGCCCAAATACAAAAGCTGGGGGGACAGTCGCTGGGCCGTGGATTGTGTCTGAACATGAAAATGGGCCACATGATGGCTGTGAATATGTACAGCACGACTGAGATCACCAGGAAAACAAAGACAAACCTGTCCAGGTTAAAGGGCAAACATTTCTTCAGCTTTTTTAAGATGTTGGTGGCGATGATGAGAGGCAGGATGGGGAAGGGGATGATGTACGCGATGACACAGAAGATCAGCGCTGGCTTGTCTCTGTAACCGGTGAGAGACACAAAGATCATGCAGCTCACGAAGGCCTCCAGAACCTTCCAGAACCCGGGAAGAGCTGCCAGGTAGCTCCCTTTCTTCTTGTCCAGGAACTTGTCCTTCACCACTTCCAGGACGTAGAGGAAGCCACACAGGAAGGCGAACACGCTCACTATCCAGCCGTAGAGGCATTTCAGGCAGGCGTAGAAGTTGGCGTAAGTTATGGCGACGGAGACGGTCATGAGAGAGGAGGACATGGCCATCCCTGTGGTGAAGTCCCCCCAGTCCATGCAGAACATGTTGAGGACTACATCGAGCCCGAACATCTCAATGACGGAGATGATGAGGGTCATGATGGGGCAGAAGGCCCAGGTGAACATGGCGTAGATCCAGTAGGTATGGCTGCTCCCTCCTCTGAACATTCCCAGGACGAAGGTGACCAGACACAGAACGATCTGAGCCATGTGGAGTCCGCCTCGCCCGGACATCAAGCTGGACGGATTAAACACCGCCTTGGACAGCGTGTCCTTAACATCGTCAATAACGCCCATCTTTCCAAGTGTCAGAGAAATGACTTGGTCCTCTCAGGTTGGCTGACGGATAACTTCTCCCTGCAGGGTTTCCTCTCCAGCTCTACTTTCCATGTAGTTGCTTTGGTTTGCATAACATTCATGGAGCAGACTGTGAATAATGAGACTTATCTGCTGCAGCTGATAGGAACACGTCGCCCTAATCATTAAAGCACAACATTTAAAATTACTGGTAGAGTAAAACTGATGTCTTTATATGTTAGGTTTGTATTAAATGTTTTTTTTTCTTCAACAGAAGTTACATGCTTCCTAATCCAAGCTTTAACTGTTATTAACCACCAATACAATGTTATATTCTATTGTGGAGTGCAAAGTAGAGATCCACAGAACTGAAAATTTGGGCTGATATCAATATCCGATATTACCGTTAAGGCCGATTACCGATAGGTATGTACTGATATTATATATATTGTTTCCTAACTTATCAATACCATGAAAACCACCACTGAAACCCCAAAACCCTAAATCCGGAGCTGCGTCACTGTCACATGACCAACCACCACCATATAATAACTTTTTTTATTGAATGTTAATTTTATGTGTTGGAATGTTGTGTTTTTGTGAAACAACATCAAACTAATTGTTTTTATGTTATTTTATGATATCTAATAAGTAAAGAAGAGGAATAAGGCCACTGAGAGAAAAAAAATGAGTATTTCTTCATAGTTTTGATAAAATTTTGAGAAAATGATTTTTCACAATGGCCTTAATCCTCTTCCGTATGTGAGGTTACACATTTTTTATATACAAAAAATTTAATTAATAATAATAATTACGATTCCCCAATACCTACAATTATTTATTGATTTTTAGTCGGGCCGTGATCTTATCATGCGTTTCCGGGGAAGGTAAATAGGAAGCACAAGCGGAAGTTGTTGTCAGTTTGGCTCTGCTAGCATTAGCCACTGTGAAATATGTGTACTTTGCAGCTTTTGAGTGAGTAAACGTTTAAAAATAACTCTGGAGGAGGCCGTCGC